GTATACACTGAGTGCTCCAGGATAATTGACAGTATCCCTGTGTGTTCTCAAAGGTGTCCCAATTTGGACCATAAATTTTATGGTCATCTTTTAAAAAAAAGAAAGAAACCAACTGAAAACAACCTGCTGACTCCAGACCTCAGCAAGTCGGCTCTCCCGTCTCCTCCTCGGGGACCCTTCGTTGGGGTTGGCAAACTCAGCCTGCAGGACAGATTCAGCCCCTGTCCTGTTCCTTAGCCCATGAGCTAAGAGTGGTTTTTACATTTATAAAGGGTTTTAAAATGAAAACAAAGAAGAACACATCACAGAGACCATATGTAGCCAGTAAAACCTAAAATATGTACTATCCGGGGCTATACAGAAATAGGTTGCCACCTGATCTTGTAGTTTTGGGTACAGGGCTGGGATCTTGGATCAGTATTGATGTCTTTGGCCCCAAAGAAAGTTGACAATCGTGTGTCCTTATCCTACCTTTGCCAAATCCAAGGCCAGGCCCCTGGTCCGAGGCTGGGATGGCACATCAGTGTTTGCGGAATGAACAACGTCAACTCAAGCACATCACTTACTCAGAGAGCCCCATGGGGACAGCACAAGGCATCTGTTGAGATTCCTCTCTCTCCTTCCCCAAGGGATAGTGATGGGAAGGAAGAGGAATGAGGGTTAGTTAAAGCCTTTCTGTGCTACAACAGGGTTTCTATTCTGGTGACAGGGAATGCTGAGGCCAAGGATCCTGCCTCTCTCCTGGAACGCCTCCCCAACCCCGGCCCCTTAGGTGGTTTCCTTCCACCAGCCCATCCTGAGGTCCAACCAGGCCCTCAGAGACCCACATCATTCCACATCATTCCATTCTAACTTTCACACTTCCACGTGCTCTGTGGTCCTTGTACGTGCTGAGGAAGCTCTGGGGAGTGACATTCCTTTTGCTGTATAAAGATAACTATGTTCTCCCCACCCAGGGAAGTGCATCTCTCCAGCGTGAGGGACCACTGTCCAGAATCACCATTCTGTCTCTCAGTTTTGTGAAACTGACTCTGGTTCAGGGGAATAGTTCTTGCAAAAAAAAAAAAAACAAACCAAACCAAAGAAACACCTGCTTTGTCCTCCCAAATGGGTCATGGATGGGCTCTGGGACTTGAAGAAGCTCGCTCCGGCCTTCCACCTCTTTATCTCTAAAAACAGAGCTCCCTGGCATCCCTTCCAGCCTGGACACGGCGATGTGATGAAGTCCAAGCGAGAGTCTGGCACGCTCTTCACTCCTGTGATTCTTAGGAAGGACGCAAATAGCAGGCATGATGCTTCTTGCAAGAGTTTATATTTAGAAGCCATTTAAAAATGAACATGTTGGCCGACTCTCCGAAGTATTCAGGGCTCTGTGAGAGCCCCTGGTTACCTTATTCCTGCGAAACAGACTCGGGGCCCCTTCAGTAGAGCCATTGGCAGGGGATGGGAGGCCTACAGGGGTCAGTGTCAGATTAGGACCAGAATAGAATACAGACTTCCTGACTTCTAGTACCTTCCAGCGCCTCTCCACGCCTACCAGAAAGGTGAACTTCCCTTATGGGGATTGGGTTGAAACAGCACCTGGCACTGCCTTGTGGAAGACGAGCAGTAAATGTTCAACTAAACTATTATTATTCAGAGCTGAATATTTGCTATTTCAGGGACCTTGCTCTAGACAAGTGTTTTTCTTTTTTTTATTGTGTTTTTTACTCCAGATGTCCCTGAGATGTCTGTCTCATAGCTTGCAATTAGGTAATGATTTTGAAAACCGCATTGAATCTCAAATAGACATTCATAAAAACCAGGATTACTGCAAATTGTGGGCCGTGTTTAAAAATCTTGAGAAAGTTATGCACGGAGCTCACTTTTTGCACCCACACCACTAGCTGCTGAACTTCAATACACTCTGCCTTTCTACTGGAGAGCCACTACCCGTGGCAGAGGGCTTAGTGACATGGAAAATCTGGTGGCAGTTTATCACTTGCCTCTCCCTGCATCCCTTTTTCTGAACTTTGAAATAAAACAGCTCTGGAAACCTTACTTAGGGAGAACGTCTACTGTCGCACCAGGAGCTGGTTCATTTTGCTGCGTACAGACTTTGTTTGATCGAATAGTTAAAAGCTATGATAGCCACTTCTAGTTTTCTTTCTTTCTGTCTGAATACATTTGTCTGCACTACACTTCAAGAGCAAGTGAGAGGGTAGGAAGAGCCAGACATGACCTTGGATCATTAAAAATGGGCGCAGAACCATCCTGGCCCCTGTATCTCTTCCCTAGCACTTACCTTCTCAGCTATGACCAGCGTCCACCGCCAAGACAACTTACAAAGCAGCTACCCCCTTCCTCTGTGCCTGACACCTGTAACCCAGCCACTCATTGTGATCTAGCTCTCTGGCAACCTAAGATCTAGATGTGGAAACAAATCGATTTTAAATATTTCTCCCCTTCCTCTGGCTCTAAGAATAGAAGGACAGTTTCAGTTTTGTTTTTACTACCTTTATTACATTTTTGCTTCTGAGATACAAACCACTCTCTTCTACCACACACAGAAAAAACATCCATTCTTGTGATTTTAAAGTGCATTTCCCCTTGAACTTTGTGTACAAAAATATTTATTTTTTCAAACATGCAGAAATTTCTTGACAAGGCACCTTTAGGCATAAAATGCAGATGAGTCCCCTGTTCTACATTCACACTGAAGTAAAAGTGAAACGTCACAGCTGCGTTCTTGAAGTCCTCGTGGGCGCAGCGGCCTCTAGGAACCGATCGACAAGACTGTGAAGACGTTTGTAGCTTTAAAGACTGTGCTGCAATCTTCCAACCATGACACGGAAAATCTGCCCGGAACAACAGCTGTCCTTCCTGGTTCCAGATGTGTCATCCCACCGCAGGAAAGTAAGATAAGCTGCCAAACTGTCTTTGGGTGACCCTACAAGATCCCATTATCTGTGTAACTTCTTACCTCCAATGTCAGTGATCATAGCCATGATACATGATCATACATGATACACACATGATCATGATACATGATCAGGAACCCCCCAGAACAAAGAGCCACCAGGTCTCCATCCAGTTGAGGAATTTTAAAAGAGGAAACAAATGAAAGACAACCAAGGTTTTCATTCCCTGTCCATTGAGAGGGAAGACCTAGAAAATGGACACTTCTAAAAAAAAAAAAAAAAATGAACAAACACTTTTTTGGTTTATAAGCAGCTATAACCCACTTAACATCCAAGTGACTACAACTGATGCTTGTTTTTAACAAGCAAATGATATTCAAAGATCAATACCACCAAGCATTCTCCTAACAAAATTCAAACTTTATAATTTTAAAAAAATGTATCCTGTTTTATCACCATTAAAATTAAATCTTAGAGATAAAATAAATTCTACCATCGATGCTTAAATTGTTATCGTTTCTGGAGAACTGCATAGCTCTATTGCTTCTCAACAGCTCCCCTATAACAAGACTTTTTTTTTTAAACCCACTCAAATACTTCATATCTTTCAAGAAATACTGAAAGCTTTTTAATTATATATCTTTATAAGCTCCAGCTTATTTATGACACCCAATTTGCAAATGCTCCCCAGGGCATTTGGAGGAATAGATATGAAATGAAAATGAAGTTGCTTCCCCACTGCTGGACAACTGCATCTGGGACGGGTGGCTGGTTCTTCTGGGGCAACCTGGGAAGGACACTGGAACTGGGGGCCACTTGTCACCATAACCTCGGGCTGTCTGAAGGCAAACTGCAAGTCAGGCTGCAGTGAAGTCTCCACCTAAGAAAGCTGTCACTCTCTGAAGTGTGTAGGCCTATCTACTGATGGCGGCTATGGAAGAACAAGAGAATCCATCCATGTGGCTCCTGAGGCCATCTGAGAATACCATGGGAAGGAACTGGGCCAAAAGAGAAAGATTGTGTTGTGGTGGGGGGGTGAGAGGTAAACAGAAGCCAGCTAGAAGACAGTATCCTCCCCCCAGCTGAATGACAGCCCCAATGGGAGAGTCAGGCAAGCAGATTCTTGTATTGGAGAAGAAGAGTCTTTGCAAACAGGTGAGGACTCGCCTCTGAACTGTGCGGTGGGGTGAGCGTCCCAGGTGTGCTGGCTGGGGGCTTGCAACCTGTGCCCCCGGCAATAAAGCTGGGGTGAGCTGAGAGAAAGAAGGGTGGGAGGTGGGAAGGTTTATGGCTGTTTTAGAAGAGATACTTATCACTGAATTACCATATTTCAAATGTTGACATGGGGAATGTGTTAAGATCATTATTACACAAAACGAAACAGACTTTATTCTAGAGTCACTTGAGGCCTTTTTCTTATGAACACAGAATGATCCTTAGTCTGGTAACATGTAAATGACAGTGCACTTTGTACCTTTTCTGCATGGGGGGTGAGGGGCACTTCTTAACACAAAATAAAATGAAACCAGTTTTGCTTCCGTTTGAGTTAGATTTATGCTATCAATAGTTCTGATCACCAAATTTATAACGTTTAAAGTATTGTCTATATACTTGATATATGGTATGCTTAGATAAAACATAGTTCTGCCCAATTTCAGCATAAGATACAACTGTGATTTCCCCCAAAATTATATTATCATGTAATCTCAGAGTGCCACCCACCTGGAAGAGGCACAAAAAACTAAGCACTAGATTGCAGACTAGTAACAGCCAGTTTTAGGAACAAGGATTACATCAAACACCGCCTAAGAGCATAAGTCAAAACATTTTAAAGTTCAAAAATGAAAAAAAACCCCAAACCCAACCACAAAACTCTAGGAGCCAAGGCACTCAATGCTTGCCTGATAGTGGTGTACAAAGCCACAAATCAGGTCTTTTTTGATTAATCTAGAAAATTCAAGCCCAATAGCTGTGCCTCCAAATCTAGGCAACTGTACACTCCTCTTTCTGCTTGTCTTAGCAAAACTCTCACTTTAGTAAGATCAGGCAAAAAAGAAAATAAAAGCCACTTAACCAAACTCCAAAAACAAACAGAAAAAAAAACCCCAACTTTCTACAAATATGTATGTAAAAATATTTTTAAAACACCCCTAAGTAAAAACCAATCTTGCTCAAGGAAAATCACAGGTTTTTGGGGATCCCATCCGACGATGAATATCCCAACAGTCTCTTTTACAATAACATGAACCAACAGACTCCAGTCCAATATGGTTAAAAACAATTAATCTCTGATATTTCAGAGTTGGCAAACATTTACAATAACATAAGAAGGTGGTGAGGTTTTTCTCCCCTATCCCTTTACACACTCACATACCATAAATAAGAACACCCAAATCAATGTCCCTGGGTCCTTGTAAAATGTCCTGGATATTGTAAATCACAGTCAAAATAAAACCAAACATTTTCCAAAGGCTTTGCAGACATACAGGATCTGCAAATCAAATATCCTAAACACAGCATAAACGATGACGCTCCAGGAAAGGAGACCTAAAATTCTTTTGTCAAGAATGAGACAGTCGCAAACCAGCCAAGCAAGTTCAATCTTGTAACTGAGCCTTCTGCTGACTCAGGGTAAACGTGAGTACTTAGCTCCCCCAAAAGCCAAGAGGAAAAGCTAAAAGTGTCCCACTCATGACTGTCCTACCTTGTCACAACCCTGCAATCTGTGACACTACACAGGGGCCAGTGGCTTTGGATAACTGATGTGTTGCACTCCGCTGGCTTATCTACATGGGTCAGGAAGAGGGGAGAGGAAATGCCTGTCTCAGTGACAAGCTAATTTGCCCTCATTATCTTTTCCCGAACATCGGATGAACCGTGGAAGAAAATAAAATGCAAAAAAACGAACTTGCAAAAAAAAAAAAGGGAGCAGATCCCGTCTCTCTTCTGTAGCTGCATTAGACATGTGCAACATGGGGTCGGCGTGTCACAGCACAGAGATGATATGTGAAGTAGGTGCAGGCATGGAAGAGCAGCGACATGCAGGAAAGGCCTGGCTGATGGAAGACACTCAAAGATGAACAGCGAGGTCTGCTGGGAGGTGGCTGGGGGCTCAGCGACTTCTGGGTGACTGACGTTCTACATCCGACGGGAGAGGAGAGATCAGGCTCCTCCAGCCTCATGGGCACTGGTGCAGGCTTGGTCCCCATCCAGACTCTTTCTGGCACCATCCTACTCACACCCTCCTGGCTGCCACGGTGCCAAAGCGGACCAGGACACGCCACCTCTGCTCTGAGCGCGAAACCGGTTCTGTGATCTGGACCCAGCTGGCTTTGCTGGTTTAAGAAAAAAGTGAACAGGATGCTTCCTTTTCCAAAACTGTGCCTAACGGCAGTTCCGCTTTATTCTTCTCTTGGCTCCCATCTCCATCCCTCGGTGGGTGGAGCCAGGCCTGCGGCAGCTCTGCCACGCTCTGTCACCTGCAGTCTCTAGTAATAGGGCCCTAGCTTTTCGTATCCTAAGTAACTAGGCCACTCTGGAAACAGACCGTAGGAACACCGAGGGCTTCCAAACTGGTCAAAGGATATCCCCAAATCTGGTCCGTTGGGTGGCTCGGCCGTGCCCTGAGTGGATTTTAACTCCGCCCGGATGATCCTGTAGTTCTTGCCTCTGTTGCTGTCCCAGTGCGTCTGGCCATTGCAGTCGTAGCATACGGCGAACTCTATTCTTTCGTAAGACTGAATCTTCTCAGGTAAGCTAATGTCAAAGGAGAACGTGTCCCTGTCCGAACCAGCGTAAGTGTCCTTCACGTACCGACAAGGGAAGTCTGTGAAGCTCTTCCAGGTGTCAAACGTCATCCTTATTTTCACGCTCTTCTCGAATGCAAGGTTCTGCACCTTCACGGTGCCCGCGATGGCCCTGTCCTTCAGCACGCAGTTCTCAAGGCACACGTGGTCGGCCTGAAGTCGATTTCTGAAGTCTAAGTAATCTGCAGCAGGCTGGGAAAAGTCCAGAACAAAGCTTTCACTCTCTGCTGTCGTCAAGCTCACGATGTTGTCTAGGAGCTCAGTGATGTTAAATGGGATATCTAACGGGTCATCGAATTCTGAGAACACTTTGACCATTGTCAAGGCCAGTCCTTGGTTGTCTGCGAAGGACACCCGCTTTTTCACCTTTTTCTCCTGGACGGCTGGGGCCACCATTCCACTGGCTTCGTCCTTGCTGCCCAGCTGAATACAAGGTCTCAGGGGTTTGCTTGGCTTTGGCGAGATCTTGAAGGCAAACCTCTCTCGGCGCAAGGAAGGGGCCATGCAGTTGTATCTGTATTCTATGTCCACAGCCATCATTGGGCTAGATGAACAGGCTAGAACCCTGGCAAAAGAGGAAAAGAAAAAGAAAAAATAGCAAAGAGATCAGATAGATGTGTAAACGTAGCATTCTAGCAGGGACTGGCGAACAATGTTGCCTTTCATCCCGCCCACGTGGCTACGGTACAGTATTAACTCCAGCGCGGTCCAACACTGACTTCCGGGAAGATTAAGTTGCGGGGGTGATGTTCAAGGTTAAAACAAACAAAAGAGTATGAAACCCGCTAGTTTTAACACTAAGTTCACAGGATTTTTGGTCAGGATTTCTTGGGGCCTTCCCTCTGCTCATGTGCCACAGAGGATAATGGAAAGCGCATACTGTTTGCAGAATTTCCCGAACTTACTTGCCTAAAGAACCCTTTTTTTCTGGAGTATCTCCCACAAACAGCCAACCCTGAGGAATACACTTTGGCAGATACTGACATTTATTTATTTATTAATTGGCAAGTAGAAACCATATATATATTTATGGTGTACAACATGATGTTTTGCTATAGGCATACACTGTGGAAATGGCTAAATTAAGCTGTTTAACATGCATTACCTCACATACTTATTTTTTGTGTGTCCACAGAACACTTAAAAGCCACTCTTTCAGCAACCTTCAAGAATACAATATGTTATTATTAACTACAGTCATGATATTGTACAATAGATCTCTTGAACTTATTCCTCCTGTCTAACTGAAATTTTGCGTCCTATGACCAACATCTGCCCAGTCCTCCCTCACCTCCACCCGCAGCCCCTCGCAACCACCATTCTCCTCTCTGTTTCTATGAGTTCGACTTTTTTAGATTGCACATGTAAGTGAGATCATGCGGTATTTGTCTTTCTGTGCCTGGCTTATTCTACTTCACATAACGTCCTCCAGGTTCATCCCTGTTGTCCCAAATGATAGGATTTTTTCTTTTATATAGCTGAATAGTATTCCACTGGGTGTATATAGTACATTTTCTTTATCCACTCATCTGTTGATGGGCACTTAGGTTGATTCCATATCTTGGCTACTGTGAATGATACTGCACTCAACATGGGAGTGTAAATATCTCTTCAGCATACTGGTTTCATTTTCTTTGGATATATACCCAGTAGTGGGATTGCTGGGTTGTATGATAGTTCTATTTTTAATTTTTTTTTTGAGGAACCTCCATACTGTTTTCCATAATGGCTGTACTAAGTTACATTCCCACTAACAGTATACAAGGGTTCTCTTTTCTCCACACCCTTGCCAACACTTGTTTTCTTTTGTCTTTTTGATTATAGCCATACTAACAGGTGCGAGATGACAGTTCATTGTGGCCTTAATGGTAAATACTCCTTTAATCTGATAAAAAGAAATGAATTCATCCCATGAATAACGATTTGGTGTTTATTATATGCCAGGCGTTGTGCTAGACATCGGGCTTCAACAGTGAAGACAGAAAGCACCTGCTTTCATCAAACTTCTGATAGGTTTTTATATTCCAGGGTATCTTTCTTTTAAAAAGAACCAGCAATTTAGTATTTTTAAATCTTTCACATAGGTGAATATTTGCCTTTTCTACAGGTGAAAATAGCCTCTGTAAGAATAAAAAACAAACAGGATCAAGATAAAAGAGGTTAAATTTGTGTTCATGAAACTATATTTTTCTATAAATGAAAAAAGTAAAACCAAAAAGATTAAAGGCAAATGGGGAAAATATTTTACAAAAAACATAGCAGCAATGAGTTAATACCTTAATATATAAAGTGTTCTTACAAAGCAATACCAAAGCCAAATATTCCAGATAGAAAAATTAGCAAAGGACATGAATAGAAAATTCACAAAAGAAATTTTAAA